TATTTTTTTGCATTAATTTTTTAGTAATAATAAAATTGTTAATCATTATTTCCTATATTTTTTATAAAAATATAAAAATATATTAAATAAAATTAAATTTTTTAAAATAAAATATATCTGAATTGAAATATTATTATTAACAAATTAGAATTATTGAAAATAATAATAGTTTTTAAATCTATCAATTATATCAGAAAATGCTTCTTTTTATAATTATTATTTGATTTTACATATGCATAATAATCTTTAATAAAACAGTAACTAGTAATTGTTATATTAATATTGTTATTTTACGATACTAACGATTAAAAATTAGTATTGACGCAAGATTAACAAAGGATTTAGCTTTAAGACTTTATAATACGATTTATAGAAAGCTTCTGAAAGTTTATAATTCAAATGTATTTCAAGTCAAAGTATTATTTATGGGTTAAGTAATTTAAAGTTTTATTAAAGAAAAGAATTATTACAAGTGTATTTGTTGCATACAAGTGTTTTTACTAATTATCTTGTTAACGATAAAACTAAGTAAATTCTTTACTTAAAAGTTTCTCTGAAAGTCTCTTATTATCAAAGTTCTAAAGCTACTTTATTTATAAGGAATTTGATAATATAAATAAATAAATAAAATGATAAAAATATAAATAAGAAAAATAAGAAATGTAATAATTGGTCTTTTATCGCATATCTGACATATATTACATATATGGCAGATTCAGTCAATCTGGCAGATTTTGAGGATCTGCCAATTTTAGCTGACTGGATGGATTTTGTGACAAAGTAAAATCATGTGATCTATAAAATAACTTTTAGTTTATTACAATATTGTACTGGTCTTAATAATATTATAGAATTAGTACAATATGATCATAATTTGAATAATTGTACCAATCTGCACAATTGTATTATACTGATCAGCTGATCTATATCATACCTGTTTCTCTATACTCACCAAATATTTTGGTAAATATTTAAATTGCGATAATCAGAAATTAATTTTGATATCTAAAATGATTTTTGATATTCAAAATCAATTTCGAAGTTTGAAATGGTTTTGAATATTTGAAATCAGTCAATCAATTTTATATATTTGATTTTTTTATTTGACAAACAAATATTCAAATATTTTATTTTTAAACAGAAATCCTAATTCTATATATCACTTAAGATAATAAATCAGAAATGAGATATTATAAAATAATTAACTATAATCATATTACAAATGACTAAATTTTGATCCCTGAAATTCTGGTAATACCAATATTTACTTTGTCTGGTTTTGTTGCAGTATACCCTATTTGTTATGCATAGAAAAGAAAATTATTACTTAAAAATGAAATAATTTAAGCTTAATTGATATAATTAAGTTTATAATTATTTTTAAATTATATTTAAATCATAACTTAATCATAATATTAATGAAAACACAATTGTGATATTTTTAGTTAATTGCAATACTCTTTAAATGTATTAGTTAACTTACAATTTTTTTGCTTTATATTCAAGATAATTACATAATTAAAAAGATTAAGCCTATATATTATTTTAATTTATTAATAATAATAAACTATATTAAATATTAAATTATATTTTTTATGCAAATAAAAATTTTATTATAACCTAATAAAAATTTTAAAGCTATATGTTTATATTTACTTATTTATTTTTTTTATTTAGGTTTATTTTACATGATCGCTGTTTGTCGATAGTTGCACACAAGCATGTGATGAAATAATTTGTGCCATTTAAAAATCGGATAGTGCTCGATTTTGGCATTACGCCACTTTTTATTTTTATTCACTTTTTTTTTTATTAAAAACCATTGTTACAATAATTAATATAAATTTCTATTTTCAGAGGCTTTTTACAATTTTCACAAATTAAATTCTAATTTTCCAAATTTGTAGATGCCATATCGGAATTTTTCGTGAACTGCGTTGACCTCAAATCAAAAGCGGTTAGTGTGCAAATATGCCACATTCTTTATAAAAATCTCAAAACTCGAACCTTTTTCTCATTTAAAACAAAAATTTATTATTTTTAATTTAATATTCTTAAAAAACGGGCAACAGATAAAAATGTTGACTGAAACTTCACCACTTCTTCGAAATCTTGGCGTTAATCAAGCCTTACAATCGGATGAACAATACGCAACAAAAAGACCCGAAAATGAAGTATTGATTGAAGCTGAAATTGATACAGGTGAAATAGAAGATGCATTTTCATGGAGAAAATTATGGAAATATACCGGTCCCGGTTAGTTTTTATTTGATCATAATAATTTAATTAAGTATTTGTTATTCAAATAAAAAGTGGTTTATCAATCTTAAAATTTGCTTTTCATAATATTTCCACCTTGAAAGCTCATGAAAAATAAATCATCTTACAAATATGTAAGGATCATTCTTTGATTATTATTTTTTTTTTTTTAAAATTTCAAGGATTCTTAATGTCTATAGCATATTTAGATCCGGGTAATCTAGAAGGTAAACATATATTTTCGATGTAAATTTTGTAAATATATTGATAAAAAAAAGCTAAATTTTTTTTTAATAATAAATTCATTAAGCCGACCTTCAATCTGGCGCATCCGCAGGATATTCCTTGGTATTATAACTTGAGAAATTGTTTATTAATACCGACGTATTTAGTTTTTAATCAAATCATGTCTTATTTTTGTAATAAAAAAATGTCTTCAGCTTTGGTTACTGTTAGTTGCACATATTGCTGGTCAATTAATACAGTGTTTGTCAGCTAGATTAGGGGTTGTGACAGGAGAACATCTTGCACAATTGATCAAACAACATTATTCGCGTCCGGTATCTATTACATTTTGGATAATAACGGAAATTGCAATTATCGGTTCAGATATTCAAGAGATAGTTGGTACCGCGATTGCTTTAAGAATTATTTTTGGGATCCCACTTTGGGTAGGAACATTGTTAACTGCCATAGATACATTCACTTTTATGTTATTGCAAAATTACGGTGTGAGGAAACTTGAAGCAGTGTTCATGGTGTTGATTGGCACGATGGCAACCTGTTTTTGGATTGAAATGTATATGTGCAGTCCTGACGTTGGTGAAATAATTAAAGGTTCCTTAATTCCTATTATACCAAGAAATGCTTATGTACAAGCTGTAGCAATGATAGGAGCATGTAACGTGTTTTATTTTATATTACCTTTTTTTTGGAAAAAAAAAGCAATTTTGAATTAAGACATTTTTGAATTGATCCTTCACAGTTATCATGCCTCATAATTTATATCTACACTCTGCTCTTGGTAAGTGGAATATTACGTGTTAATTATCGTGTAACAGCAATAGAAAATTTAATACTTTTTTTAATAAAAATTAGTGATGACGCGTAAAACCGATCCTTCATCTTATTCCAAAATCAAAGAATCAAACTTTTATTTTGCTATAGAGAGTGGAATAGCGTTATTTTTTTCATATTTAATAAACATGGCAATTGTTGTGGTTTTTGCCCGAGTTTTTTATTCTCCTAACGAAGATAAACCGTTACCAGGTTTATATGACGCGGCCGACGTTTTAACAAATACTTTAGGAAGTGCATCCCGGTATTTATGGGCTCTTGGTTTATTAGCAGCTGGGAACAGTTCTACAATAACTGGAACTTTGGCTGGACAATTTATTATTGAAGGTTTTTTTGGAAAGATCTTTAGTAAATCATGGCATCGTTTAATCATCACACGTTCCATTGCCTTAGTGCCTTCTATGCTTGTAGCTATATATTCGGTAAGGGTTTTTTTTTTTATTTATATATTCAAAGATTTCATATTTAAGTATTTATTTAAATTTAGGTAAATGATTTCGATAATATGGGCGAATTTTTAAATGTTCTTCAAAGTCTTTGTCTTCCTACAGCTTTAATTCCATTAATGAAACTTACTAATTCAAAATCCGTTATGAGTAAAAGTTTTCGAACGAGTAATCTATGGAAATATATTTCATGGAGTTTAACTTTAATTATTATTGGATCGAATTTAATTTTATTTTTAATGTATTTAAATGAAATGCCAAATTCATTTTTAGGATATATTTGTGGAGGAATTTACTTTATATTTATAACTTATATTGCAATTTTACCTTTAAAAGAAGCAGCAACTCTTTGAAATTTTTAGATGGTTATAATAAAAAAATAATAATCAATATTTTTATAATGTTTAAATTCTTACTTTCAAATGAAAAGTACAAATTCTCTGAAGTCATTCGCCTCCCAAAAAATTATTTTTGTCACATTGTACGTTTGTCCGACTACTACAACAATGTCGTGTAATTTCATTTTCTTGACAATGACAAAAAATGAAAACAATAATTATGGGGTGATCTTTTCGGATCGGCCGATCCGATTTAAATTAATTATTGTTCTTCACAACGAAAGGATCATCTTAATCATAAAAAGCAGATCGGTAATGCAGATTAGAATCAATAAAATAGATTGGGCCATCATCTTCAGCTGTGCCCGATTGTTCATAATGGTCTTCCGGAATTCTTGTGCTTTTTGCGAATCGTAAACAATTGCAGATCCTGTAACCGTCTGTTCAGTTTCAAACTTGTTCGAAAATCATTGACATCATTAAAAACAATAAGTGGATTGTTACGCGGAATCGTTTCAACGGACATTCCGACCGTAAAGGTGTTATACACAATTACATAATCTAGTTTTCATGTTGATTTCCTTCAGGGCGAATTAGAATTAAAATATGTTACTAATTCATTAATAATAAATTTTTTCCAAACAATTGACGTAAGTAAATAATTCCGAGGATTTCAATTTGCATTAAGGATTATCAAGAAACGAGTCTTTTACGAACGCAATTTATATTTATTAGATTTACAAATAAATACACAATTATTGAGACGATGGTTTACTTAAGGTTTAAAAACAACGAAAATACGCGATTATAACACAAAACGATCATTGAACCTAATCATAAAAATCAGACGAAATATTTAATAAAAAAATTAAAAAATAAACTAACAAGTACATTTATTTACCGTAATCATTGCATCTCGATCCAAAACAGCTCGAATAACAATGGTAAAGTCTTTTGCTTCCTTACGTAATTCTTTAGACTTTGAGGCAAGTGATTTCGCTACAAGTTTCTTAAAGCGGTTTCCATGTACATTATTTTTTTCCAGCTTGAGAATAATACATTGAAATATATTAATCTGCTGCACCCAATAAGAATCGAATTTACTCAAAAGATCCATTATTTTTGAAAGACCACTCAACATAGATTGTAAATGAGTAGAAATTGTACTTCTATTACTCTTCAATTGATAATCGAGTCTTATAGAGTTAACTTTAGAACCCATTGTAATGCTTCCAGTGATACCTGTGGCGGTTAATGCTACCTTAATAACACGTAAAGCGACTGTGGTCCCGCCCGTTAAAGGTAAGGATGCAGCAGCACCAACAATTCCTAAAACAATTCCGCCTAAAGTAGCAACTCCGAATGCCTTTGTGAATGCATCCGAAGCATCTTTTTGTTTAGTAAATTTTTCGATTTGTTCTCGTTCTTTTCTCTCAATCTCTTCATTATAACGAAAAATTTCTTTATTAATAAGGCATATATAGATTTTTTAATGGAATCTAGTTGACATATTAATCTTTCCGATTTCTCCTGGTTAATCCTAGCCTCATTTAATAAGTCTCTTAAATAATCCAATAGATCATCAGTACTAATAGTTGTATCTTGACAATTGTCAGCAAATACAATCAAGTCATCAGCATGAAGAAATATTGCATTACTTTGTTTTATTGAGTTTTCGGAAAAAGATTTAAATTCTTTACGCTGAACAGAAATTTGATCCATTTTTTTTTTTATAAAATCATCATCAGCTTGAAGAATTTCAAGAAAAGAGAAATCTACCACAGATTGAATCATATTTTCTTTTAAAGCCTTCATTCCGATGGAATCATCATCGTTAGATGATATTTCGGTAATATTCGTCATAATTATTTTTTTTTTTTTAAATATTATTTCGATTTATGTAGATTTATATATCTATCAAAATTTTTTTTTATAAATAAAGACGAGGTAAAAAAAAACTTCTCACGCTAAAACCATTTAAATAATTTAAATAAACAAACAATGACAAATATTTATTGAAACACTTGTGAATACACATGATCCACAATCAATAATTATGAAATTAAGAATATACAAAGAATATACAAAAAACAGGTTCATTTATAATACTAATATAATTGTAACGAAAATCAAAAGAACCAAAGAAACAATTTGAGAAATCACTAATAATAATAATAATTATAATATATATTAGAATGAGTTAATTTATTTTGATTTAGTAAAATTACGTAAATTTTCCCAATACTTACATCAATGGGTAGGAGAGAATTATAAGTTACAAGATCTTTCAGGCGAATATGATTCGCTTTGCATCCATTAAGTTGTTTCGTCCAATGATCTTCAATTGGAATGGCTCTTTGTCGCGGGATTTTAAATTCCTCATTCTCATCCACGGATTTTAAAGTCTCAACATGCGCTTTAATGTTAATGATTTGATTATCCCAAAATTGATCTAAAATCCCAACGCTCTGAACGATAATAGGAAGCTTTTCTTTAATTTCCAAGATTTTTTCATTTTTTTCAATGATTTGTTGTCGTTTTATTTCCTCAGTTCTTTTTGATGATCTACGTTGATGGCCATTCCCGAAAAATTTCATCCACCAGCGATATTGTTTGGGTTTAAATTGCCTCAAAATTCCATACATAAAGAGACATGCGGTGAAACCCAAAAAGCAAGCTGCTGGTGTGCAAATTCTATGGTCCGTCAAACCTGGAGATGCCGAAGTCACTGAATGGCCATTACAAGGTAAAGAAGAATTATATTCCGCATCGAACTTTGTTTCTTTAACATGATTTGACGGCTCAGAGATAGAAGTTGGTTCCGAAGTTGGTTCGGAAGCTGGTTCGGAAGTAGATTTTGATGCGACAGACTGTATGTTCTTGGTATTATTGTTCTTTGATTGTCCATTTCCCTTAAAAGAATTGAATAGCCTGGATATATATGATATAAGTCCTGATGAATCTGATGAACCTTCATTCATCGATGTCCCGGAAAAAGGATTCTGTTCACTAGGATGATATTCTTTCGGAGAATCGTCTTTTGGTGAATCATTTTTCGTTAAATCACTATTCGGTTTATCGGTGGGCATGTCAGAACTTTTGTGATTTTGTTCGTCAAGATTACGAATGTCTATACTTTCTTCAATGAGATTTAAAAAGGAAGGGATGATGGAAAAGAATCGGTGGATGGCATTTGATCCAAAATTACTGCAAGAAAATTTGAAAACACCATAGCCAAATAAAACCGATATTGATATTAAAATAATGTTTAAAGACTTTAGAGATATGATTTTTCTGGAAGGAGGTTCTCTGATGACGATATGATTCTCGGTTGAATTATAATTATATATTGGGACACTGCAAGTAACTTCTTTATTAAATCTTTCAAGAAATTCTTCGTAATTTTTTTTCAATTTTTTTGTATTTTTTTGCCTAGCTTGTGCTGTATCCAGTAAAGATAATAAAGTTTCAAGGATTACTCCGACACTTGTATTTTCTTTTGAAAGTAATTGTATATATATAATAACATCCTCGATATATAATGAGAGCCTTAAAGATTCTACAGCTCTTTCGTTAGTTAAAGTGTTAAATTCGCGACAAAAATTTTCAATTTTATCGTCATTTGTTCGAAGTTTGATGTCCAATATTCTACATTTATTAAAAGCTTCAAGCGTTACTTTCGTTCGACTTTCAAGAATATCAAGAGATGGGAAATTCGGATCTTCCCATAAACTTAAATTTATCTTTGCCATATTCGATGAAATATATATATAAGTATATATTTATTTCGTTTTTCTTTTTTTCTCAACGATCTATAATATTTTTTTTTTTTTGTCACACGAGAAATTTATACCCTAAAAAAAAGAGGGATTATCAACTGAATTAGGCATAACTTATTAAAATTTAAAATTTTTATCCCGACTACCTAGAAAAGAAAAAGACGTGAAACCAAATTCTTTTATTTTTAATTTTTAATTTTCGTTCGTCAGACATCAAATGAAATGGTTATATTAAGAGTTTTACGTTCTCTTGTCTCTTTCATACGGTTCTAATGTAATTATCATCATTTTCCTAGCATTTGACAAAGCTGTTTGATTTATTTGACTTCTTCGCCCAATAAACGTAATTTCCCATTCGAATTACTGATACCTCTAAGTTATTCTTTTACATTAATTTTTCTCGTTAATGCTACTTCAAAATCCCTTATCTCCTTTATTTCTCTTTTGAGCTTTCTAATTTTTATTTTTTAATCAAAACCATAACAAAAAGAACAAATAAGGAGGAATCATCTTTATTTTCTATATTCAATTTTCCACAAACAAGTATGAACATAAGAACGATCCCATAGTCACGAGTTTGCTATTATTTCTCTTAAGACTTCCTCTTTTCCAGTAATAATTGCTGATTTTTGAAGGAGCGATTAGAAATTTCATTGTTAATATTAATCAATATATCCTTATTTGTCTTTTATTTGTAGAGTTTCCTTCATATTTGTTTTGGTATCTTCTAAAAGATATCCGAAACACGATCTGGACTGAAGTCTGAGCTTCCTAAAACTTGTATATAATCAATCATAAGTTCGCCGTGAATTGTAAGGAATGAAATTCTAATCCTTGATTATTAATTTCATTTATTTTCGTTCTAATCAAATGACTATCAGTTCAGACGACTTAAAAATATACAATTCATAAGAGTTAGGTGTGGTTCGAGGAATTCATCCATATTTTTTATTTTATTTTTTTTTGAATAAAAAAGACAAAATTTATGCAATCTCAAATCAAAAAAAAAAAGTTTGACTTTTTTAAGTTGCACGCAATATTTATATCAATGAAAAACAATCGCTCCAATTTTGGAAATAAATGACATCATTAAACTTTTTGCATGCATAAAAGGCGTTGTGAGTGGGAAAATTCTATTTCTTGTTTTCATCCGTAACTAATTTTGTAAACAGAGAAAAAGTTAACCGGATATCTATCAAATAAAATAATAATAATAATAATAATAATAATTCTTTACGGAAAAACGAAAATGACGAATACTCGGATGGAAACGGATGCTCAGAAGATGACAGATAATTTGATGACGAGATTCGAAGTGTCTAACTCGGTCGAATTACAAAATAAAATGGTTCAGACTTTCAAATGCTTTTCTGAAATACAACAGTTCAAAGCTGTAGGCAATGAATTTATGGAAAAAAAACTTATTATAATTTCAGAGGAGAGAAGTAAATTTCGAGATTTCGCCGAACAATCAATAAAACACAGTCTCGTTATGAGAAATCATTCTAGCGATTTGATTACATTTGCTGAGTGCTGTGAAGATGAGAGCGTTAATGATTTTGAACTGTTGGAATTATTAAGATCAAGTTTGGAATGTTCCAAGTTAAACAAGGAGAAAACTATATCATTAAAAGAACAACTTGAGGGAATAGGAACTCGCTTGGGACTTGTCAGTAATGAAATTCTTATACATAACGAAAATCTTATGGAAGAACAGGAGAATTTATCTAAAAAAATTAGTGAAGCAGATAAAGTAACAGATAATGCAATGTCAGTTTCAAAAAGTAGTGCAATGGCAGCAGGAGTTGGGATCGTAGCTGCGGTGGCGGCAGCTCCGTTCACCGGTGGGGCATCTTTGGCCGTTCCTGTTGCGGAAGCTATCGTTTGGATAGGTATGACTACTATTCTTGGAAGGTAATTTTTTTAAGGAAATTTCTAAATTGATTTTTTTTTCTTTATTATATTAACAAAAAATTTCAAATTTTAATATAACAGTGCAGTCGCGGCTACAGTTTCTACTACTGTTGCCGGAGTTTCTTCAATTCGCAGCACTTTTCTAAATTCCAATTATCATTTAAAAAATACTTTACCAGAAATGAAAAAGAACCTTGACAATATAATTGAGATGATATCTCGATATGAATCTTATTGGGAGAGTCAAATTACCGAAATTGATGATATCATTGAAAAAATGGAACGTTATAAAAATGGAAGACAAATGGTAAAAACCATCTCCAGGGCCATTTCAGATAAAGCGAAAGCGATTCATAAAGATTCTAATGATTACAGTGTTTGTTTGCGAAAAGCAGTGAATGCTGATAAGACTGGTATGATATTATGAAATTATGTTAATTAAAATCCTCCTTCTTGGTTATTCATTTTTATCAAAGAAACTTTGTATTTTCTTTTACCTTTTTTTTATTTGATTTTCACAAATAAAGTGTATGTTTTAACAAATTTCTTGATAACTTGAGAGATAGAAAAAGTACCATTTTTTGTTCGCAATTGAATTTCATTTATATTTGAAAAGACTGTTTTGTTGATAGTATATATTGATAACGTCACTTCTGATTTTCCAAAACTTGATTTGTAAAATACAGTACATTAAAGTTTTAGAATCAAATCTTTGTAGTCGGGTAAAAAGGTTGCTCTTACAAAAAGAAATGAGCCTAAAATACAAATCAATGAGAACCTACAATCAAGTTGTGATCCTCGCAAATAAGTATTGAGAATGATGCTTATTCAGCGTTATCATATATTTTTTTCGCGTCGCGTCGGTATCTAGAGAAGCTACTAAAGTTTCTAATAGTTCAAGATAAACCATAACATTTTAGCAATCATATAACGATTTTACGAGTTGTGAAAAATTTATTTGGCCGGAAGAATGAGTCATGATTACGAAATGCGAGAAAAAAAAGTTATCAAGATTTTAGGATTTTTTTTTTCCAACCATTTATATTGACGAACAACTTTATGTTAATCAATAAAAAAAATATCGTAGAGTAATTTTATTTATTGTTAATTTTTTTTTTTAAAATAGTAATCAAATAATATATGGTAGCCGTCACAACCATAATTTCAAGGAAAAAACGAAGCATCGCTTTTTTATTCATATCCAAACAAGTACGAGCGTAACCATGGTCACGAATTTGTCATTACTTATTTCAAGGTTCATTAATTCTTGAACTTTACTCGTAATAATAGCTCATTATAATTCCGTCCAATCTATCCTTGGAAAATATCAGAGGGGAATTCCATTTTTTATTTCCCCTCAAAATTTGACAATAGTAATAAATAACCCTCCAATTATGGAAACAAATGACCTTTTTAAGAATCTTTTGCATAAATAAAAAAAGGATTTGAATATTTCTTTTTTTTTGTCCGTAAAATAATTTTGTTTATAGAGAATTAACTGTATATTTTAAAAATAAAAAATAAATAATTTTTTACGGAAAAGCGAAATGATGGACGTACAGACCACGATGATGACAAAGAATCCGCCTGACTTGACAGGATTACAAAATTCAGTGGTTCAGTCTTTCAAATACTTTTCTGAAATTCAACAACTCAAAATTGTAGGCAATGTTAATCAAGAAATTCTTAATAAAATTTCGGAGGAGAGAAATAATTTTCGAGATTTTGCCGAAGAATCAATAAATCACAGTCTCTTAATGAAAACTCATGCTAGCGATTTGGTTACATTTGCTGAGTGCTGTGAAGATAAGAGCATTAGTGATGTTGAGCTGTTGGAATTCTTAAGATCATGTTTGGATGATGCCAAGTCAAATAAGGAGATATCCATATCATTAAACGACAAACTTAAGGGAATTAGGAATCGCTTGGGAGATGTAAATAACGAAAAAACTATGGAAAAACAGAAGAATTTATCTAAAAAAATTAGTGAAGCAGATAAAGTAACAGATAATGCAATGTCAGTTTCAAAAATTAGTGCAATTGCATCAGGAGTTGGGTCGTAGCTGCGGTGGCGGCAGCTCCGTTCACCGGTGGGGCATCGTTGGCTGCTGTTACTGTTGCGGAAGCTATTGCGGAAGCTATTGTTTTGATAGGTATGACCACGGCCTTTGGAAGGTAAAACTTTTAATTTTTTAATTTTTTAAAAAAATCATCACATGTGTGGTATTCTATTAAAGGTGAGGTACGGATCATATAATTTACTATGTCTCGTACCTCAATTTTAATAGAATACCACCCACATTCTCAAAAAAAAATAAAAAAATAAAATTTAAAACTAAAATTAATATAACAGTGCGGCGACGGCAACAGTCTCTACTACGGTCGCTGGAGCTTCTGCAATTCGCAGTTCCTTTCTAAATAAATTAAAAACTATTCTACCAGAAATTAAAAAAAACCTGGATAATATTGATATGATGTTATCTCAATTTGAATCTTATTGGGAGATTCAAATTGCCGAAATTGATGACATCATTAATAAGTTGGAAAGTAATAAAAATAATAGCAATGGAAAACGAATGATAAAGCCTGTAGCCAGGGCTATTTCAAAAAAAGCGAAATCAATTCAAGAAGATTCTCATATTTACAGTAAATTTATGCGAGATGCTGTGAATGCTGATAAGATTGGTAGGAAATTATGTAATTAAAATCCTTCTTTTTGTTTATCATTTTTATTTCACATTCAGTTCATGTTCTCAAAGAACGTGATGTTATGAACTTTTGTATTTTCTTTTATATTTTTTTATTTGATTTTCATAAATATAATATAACGTAATTTTTAACAAATCTCTTGATAAATCCAGATAGAAAAAGAACCAAACTAATTAAATAAATCCTTTTTTTTGTCGCAATCGAATTTTCTTTATTCCATCAACAAAATCAGTCTTTTCAAATATACTGTATAGATATTTGCAATCTGATTTTTCCTTAACCAGATTTTGTAAATTACAGTACATTAAAAGTTTTCCCCATGTTTAGAATCAATTCTTTGTTGTCGGGTAAAAAGTTGCTGATTTAAAATCTATAATCTTCAATACAAAAAGAAATAGACAAATAAATGAGAACAGTTATGTTCTTCGCAATTTTTTGTGCGTCTGTATATAGAGAAGATCCTAAAGCTTTTAATAGTTCAAGTAATTTTAGTATGCATATGATGATACAGCACCTACCATTGATCCGTCATATTTCTGTTATCAGAAATAAATCCCTTGCAGACGATGGCACTTGTCAATCAGACCAGCCCCTTCCAAAATCAATCGGTTCACTATGAATTTTTCTAACGATTTGACGTGTTGTGATAAAGATAAATTCTCGTCTTTTTAATCCGCTTCGATATATTTATTCAGCCAGAAGATTATGAAAGGTTATCTAGGATTTTATCCAGCCATTTATATTGACAAAATTCATTCTTACAATAGTCACGCGATTATCAATTTTTCTTTTTGGAATTTCGATTGAAATTACCTTAGAAAGCAAGTTAATTGCTTTTGCCCCTTCATTCTGATATCCAAATCTAGTAGCGATAATCCGTAATTTAAAAAGAAATTAAAATATTTATGTTATATTCAGGAAATTAAATGAGCAGCGTCGGGAATATGAGCAATCATTTAGCGGATTATTCGCTTGAAATGAAGAAAGATCTTTAGAATTATTAAATGTCTGCCCTTATAGAAGATCCACAGATTTTCAAAAAGAATTACAAAAATAACTAGTTGAAGATGAATTATACTGGAAATACAGTGTGTTGATAAAAATTAAAAGAGGATTTACAAAAATTTGATTCAGATAATGATTGAATAACAAAAAGGAGTCAGAAAAAAGAGCATTGGAAAGGGTTTAGCTGCTGTGGTGATTTATTTATTCAAAGGTTTATCGAAAAAACAAAAATTGAAAAAAATCTTGGCAATTTGGCAAAAATTGAGGAAGTAAGGCGTATTAAACGACGTCAAATTGCAGATTGTTGATAATTGAGGAAAAGCAGAAACTCTTAAATTCCTTATTTTCAATGAACTAAACTTAAAAGGTTTCTCATATCATGATACACTGCACGGGTATACAATTTTTCCAACGCGGGAAGCGGGTTAAAAAAAAAAAATCAATAGAGCCAACTTATTCAACCGAGAAAAAATAATCTTTCGATTCGATTGTGGCTCATTGTTATTCTTTTTTTTTTTTTTTTTTTTTAACAATTTGAACAATTTGAAACAATTTGAAACAATTTGACGTTTTGACGATTTTGATTAGCTGGAATGCTGCGCCATGACAACATGACAAGCGGGCGTATTCAATAAGACCGAATTTCCTCGTGGAAATAATAGCCACGACAAAAGATTCTTTTTGATACGTTTTTTGAAAAAAAAAAAATTTTTTTCATGCGCCATGTGTGGCTTTTGTAAATATGTAAAAATTTTCATTTGGATTTGCAAGTTCGGTGAGTACATTCATTCCTGCACGTTGATGTCATATGTGATTGATCAGTGCATATCATATATTTATATCTTGTCTTTTTAGTAACACGCACAGCCAAAGGATATCCGAGTTTTTGTTGAACGGATTTTACACTAAGAAAAAAAATTATTCCATAAATACAATGAGAAAATTTTTTGATTCCGTCAGTTCTCACAAGTTCTCATTCCATTAAAGAAAAAAAAATATATTTGTTTATCAATATCAGATATATATATATATATATATATTTTCCTAAACGATCATCATATAAAATTCCTCAATTATAATATATTGTATATTATATAAAAAAAAAAAGATAAGAGGAAGGTTTTTCGAAATGACGAATCAAAAATCAAAGAGTAATCGAACAAATTTTTCACGTGCTTGCGTTTTCATCGACTCGAGCAATCCTTCAATGCCTTATCAGGTGATTGATAGTAAAATCCGCCCTTTAATCAAATTGCCCTTTCCTCCTGTCATTGATCCCGCAGATCTAGTTCAACAGGTGAATGAGGGAAATATCCCGGCCAGGGCTCCAAATGCGTTCATTATTTATCGAAAAGCATTTATCGATGCCGCGCATATTGATGGATATCATTTACCCATGAGAATCATGTCATCTATGGCTTCTCAATCATGGGAACAAGAAACCGATACGGTGAAGTCCGAATATCGTAGACTTGCAAATGAAGCCTTTAATCTTCGAAATGAATTGTACCCTAAATCCGGATTTCGTAGAAAACGAGCCAAATGGAACATCGTTTCATTTCAGAATAAAAACAAGGTAACAAAGAAGCGACAAAAATGGAACATAGTTTCATTCGAATCAAAACAATCCGATTTGTCACATAAGGAACATGTGGAACCGAAAGAACCGGTCGAAACCCAATTATTAGAGGTTATCCAACAAATTCCTTCTCCCAAACAATCAACCTTTTCAAGTCCCATATCTCAGGATGAATCAAATAAACAAGATCTTGTTATCAACTTTAATAATGATAATGATAATAATAATAATAATAATTTCCTATCTACCGAAATGAATTTTGACAAAAGTAATATGAATGATTTATCACCTTATCGTTATAGTAACGAACAAGATTTCGTTTATCACGATTTGATTCCAAGTCCCGAACCATCGATAACTAGCGGTTTCTCACCTGAAATGAATGATCCAATTGACAATGATCTTGATTTTTGTATTCCCGAACAATCCATGAATGGAAATTTTGAACATTTCAATGTAGAAGACAATTTTCTCAATTATTATCAAATTCCAACGTTTGTTTATAATGATTACAACGAACATTTATCAAACGAAAGTATTTTATCCCAAGAATATTTTAATGGGTCGGTCAATTTCCAACCTGTAAATGTCGAACCCGATGCGTTACATTTATATGAAAATATGAATTACTTTTCAGATGGGTTAGGGATCTCTAACTCCGAATCAGGACCTTCCGTTGAATATTTTCGATAAAATTGAAATTAATCTAATCATATATTATATTATATTATAAATTATTTATATAATACATATATTTTATTTATTTTCTTTAAAATATGATCAATTCTAAGATTTTTGATTCTAAGATTAAGTAACTTAAGGTTATAGCTTTAAAGACATTATTTTTTAATAAGATTTAAGATTTTATGAAATAATAAGGTTTATTTATGTATGAGAATAATTAAGAAATGTATGGTAAAATTAAGAATAAAAAAATAACACTTGATTTTTAAGTTTTATTCAATATAACGAACTGCTTTACATATGAAAATTTGCAACTTGCCATTGTTAAAATTTTATTTTTTCATTATCTCATACATTCTTCCCAATTAACGGCTTCTGCGGGTAGTGAATTGAAAACAAAATCATCCTTTATCGTTTCATCAATTTCTTCTATCAAATCCCTCTCGAATAAACTGTGGACAGGTCTAAAATAATTATTAAAATCCTGATCTAAATAATTGATTTTAGATTTCAAAAAATCATAACGACTGCAATTACTCATCCTAATGGAATTTTGTGGACTATAATTGAAATTTGGAATTGAAGGACGGCTTTTACGACGCCTCGAAGAAGAAAACCTTGCAACGGGAGGTAATTTTGTTATTTCATCATCATCTTCGCTCTTGTAGTTGGACACAATAACTGGAACGGGCTTATCATCGTCATGATTTGTGGATTCTTTGCCTACGTTGAGCAAATGTCGATGCTGAGGCGTATTTTTCACGAAAGATGAGGAAAGGTGTTTACAAAATTTTGTTTTTCTGATGATAAGGATCAAGACCACCACGACTACCAAAGAGACGCCTGTAATCCCACAAATGACAGGTGAGTTTAAGATCAACTTTGTTTCACCTTTCAAATATGAAATTTGATCATTTGAGTAGCTTGAAGTGTATGATGAAAAAGGATCCTTGAATAGGATAGGATCTCGTACATTCTTAATATTTTCTTCCCTTTTCCATAGACTCTCGGTCTTGGATTTTAGATTATAGCGTTCAAAGTTTTGGATTTCCATTGAATTAACAACCTTTTTGGTAATTTTTATTTTAACCGTTTTTGCGTTCCCTTCATCTTTTTTTGAATGTATTTTATAATTATAAATTTGACGCTTTCGACTATTTATGAATTTTCTTTTATCGTTTCTATTGTTATTGATATGATGTCTTTTATTTGTGTAATCGTTTTTACCAAATTTTCGTTTCTTGATAAGAGTCATGATTGAAAGAAAAATCAAGGTTGGTTATTGGTTATAATAAAAATAATATAGTCTATTTCCGCAAAATAAAAAGGCTTTCAATGTGAATGTGCAAAAATTGAAAATTAAATAGTAACATGGGAATTAAAAATTGAACTTAAAGGGAAACTTTCAGTTAAAAAACACGAGAAGAGAGGGGAAGAAAAAAAAAAAGAACTCGGGAACAAAATTTAAAATCAATACCCAATTTATTTATCATAAAATGAGAAAAACGTGCAAATAAAATAACACAACCTTATGTAAATAATTTCACTCATTTTATTTACTTCAAAAGAAAAAAAAAATAAAATCAAATTAAATAAAACACGAGAAAGTTTTATATATGATTTTGTATACTCAAATATCTACCTAACCTTAAAGGATCCACGACTAAATTTAGCAATGTACCTTTGGGTCATTTGTTGATCTTATTAATTTTTTGTTGTTTGTTGTTAAAAAATAAATCAACCTATTATAAAAATTATTCGTTTGTTTTAATAATGTCTTCACCAATTATTTTTCTTTGTTTGAATTGCTAAAAAGAATAAAAAGAAGCAAACATAAATACTTAATCATGAACTTAATCAAGTTTCTCGCTACATTAATGAACAGCTTGTACTATAAAAGGATCATTTCCAAAACGTTTATCCCATATCATTGCCCTCTAACCCTCTAACCCTCTAAAAGCAAGGGCACGAAATCACCGCCCAAAGCAATGCCCACAAGGTCCGGAACATTAAACGGCTAGTTCGAAAGCGAAATTTGTCTTCGCGAGTTCGCAATGAATGATAGTGGCACATGTACGAACAATTATGACTCGCATATTGTCTATCACTTTGTCAATATAAGATATCACATTGTGACGATGCAAATTACAAATTACATTTCATCATCATGAAATTTTTTTTTTTTATATATTTGGCGCAATTCTTGTACACCGGAAATTTCCGATTGCCACATTTGGTAACTTCATTCAAATATCTCGTTGAACAAATTAATTTCTTAAACACGCTAGCCATTAATCGTCTAATATGATAATTTCACGAGTTTTCTAAATTAAGACCGTGAAAAAGTTGATAAACATTAAAATTTCACTTCTCGATTTAATATTTTGTGATTTTGCAAACTTTGAATTCGATCAAATTAATTACAGAATCATGTATTTATTTCAAGAAATAAAATAAAAAAAAATAAATAAATAAAAAAAAGGTTACTAATTCTATATTGCAAAATTTCTGTTGAAAAAAATAATAATTGCTATAAAAATTATTTGCTTCAACTTTTACGCGGAAAAAAAAAGTAAACAAAAAAATCATATGTTGACGCCTCGTGGCTTAGAAAATCAACAATCAACTCATTGATAAATTAAATCCTAAATCGATCTGCAGTCATAAAAGGTGAGAAACCAGAATTTCCGGATGAGCGATTTGATAACCTATTAGGAGAACGCTTAATCTTCATTTTAGCAGTATACTCAGGATTAGGGCAAGAATTTTGATTTTTGAAATCTTCCCATGATCCAAAGAGATTCTTTACTAATTCATCATCCCATGGGTGTTGTTCTGGCCAAGCACTATAAATTTCAAACGCGATCTTACTACATTCCAAGCATTTGAATTTTTGAGGGACTTCAATACTTGTACCATCACTCTTATAAACGACTGTATAATCATAGGAAAATACGAAATCTCCATCAGGAACCGTCTCTTTGAGCCAATCAAGAACAGACTTTGCGGATTCAATACCGCAAAATTCTATGAAATCGAATAATCGATTAATAAAGAATTAAGTCGTCACCTATTTCTTTTTTTTTTTTGAAAAATAATAATCCTAACTTACCGCCACTTGAGCTTTTATGACATAAGAAATCATGATCGGGTATACCAAAATAATAGATCAAAACAACTCCATAAGCATAAGCAACGGTTTTGTCAATAGTCGACGGATTTTGAGTCCAGTCAACGAGGGTTGATAATTCGGTAGCACATTTTGTTTTAACCTCCTTCCATACTGGTTCGGCTTCTTCATAAGTGCATGTGAATTCCTCGTCACAAAGTTCCCTTACAGATTCATCATAAGGAGTCATGTCAAAACGGTCAATCTTGGTCATCTCCCCAGATTTGATACCTTTAAGGTATTTTTCTACAACTTTCTTGATCAGGTTAATAGTAAAACCGCATGATGATGAACCTCCCAAAGAAGCCCAAAGTTGCGATTGACATTCGTTACATTTGTCACATACGAATAATTCTTCACACGTATTTGGTATAGATTGTTCACTGAAATCCGGTATCCCGCAAAAGTTTGCATTAACATTAGTGACCAATAATGAAATCAGACAGAAGATTAGGATTCCGAATTTCATTTTATCAAAATTTTATCTTTTAGGTGATTTAAATTGTTTGGGAGGTAAGAAGATTGGTAGGGTTTTTATATTTACTTTGTTAATACTGATTAAAATACCAAACGATAACGCGAGAATTTCGGGAAAGATCCAGTTTAATAATTAAACGGAAGGTTAAAGCCTATCCAAGCCAATACCAAAAAGCCATATCGAGAAGCCATTCCTTTCCCGAATGTTATTAAATTTTAATATAGCCATAACGCAAATCATCATACAGACATACTGATATTGAACAAACTGATGTATAAAATGGCTGGCTTATTCAGAAATGACTGAATATACAATTCAATTACACATCTCCGTGAGCGATAACTGCGTAAATCTACTTTATTTTTTTGATTACCTTCACAAGTTGCTGAAATGTCATTAACCATTATTCACTTTCACAGCCAAAATTTCCGGCTAATCAGCCTCAGGGAACGAAAATACCCGTGCTTCTTGATGAAAATTCCCAAAGGTTTGTGACCTTTGTGTTTTACAGATTATATAATTAAAATTTTTTAATCAATTAAACCATTTTAACGTAAAGTTTTTGAGTCATTATATGATAATATCTGACGTCGTTTATTATATTTCACATTGCGGGCTAAAAATTTTATAATTTAAACGTCTCGGAGTGAACTTTAAATAGACCACCTCGATCACTCACAGTTACGCTGGCAGAAATCGTTCCTTTAATCGTCCACAAACGCCAACAGCTACATCTCCTAATGGCTTGCATGTTTGAAAGTAACTTTGTCTTCCGTCGTGTAAAATTTGTAATTCCGAAGTTTGGAGGCCATTGTTTTCGGTCGGACGGGTTACATAAAATCTAGATCTAAAATATATCCTGATAATTTGGTGAACTTTTGTTATATCGTTCGAGAACCAATTGTAGACATCTAAGGAAAGATAAAATTAAAATTAAAAATAAATTCCAAAACATCCAACACATTTATATTGTATATATACCTACCGAGATTGGGAATGACCCACACGAATAAATCGATCGCGTGGCAATTGGCATTCGATTAATTTGTCGATTTACTAAATCTTTTAATATACTTATCATTGGAGTTATTCCTATACCACCGGCGATTAGCATCACAATATCATAATCCATAAATTGTAAACTTTGTTTTCCGTAGGGACCCTCAATGTTCATAACCAATTGATTTGTACTCTTACTTGACGCAAACGTGTCGTAAAGTGCATTTGTATAACCTCCGATTTTCTTTATATGAATTGAAAATTGATCGTCATTTTCATCAGTAGAGATGGAAACAGGATGCCAAGCAACGCGTTTAAACGGATGATTTATGTTAGAAAATCTAACGAAAATATATTGACCAGCTTCATAAAAAGCGTTTCTTTTAAATAAATTTTGGTTATACCTCCTGGTAACGCTTCATAACTTGTAACTTTTGATTGTTTGAAACCAACGTAAGTTCTAATGCCAAGGTCAATCGCATAAATAATAATCCCAACCCCTTCAAATAGGATGTTTGCCGCGTCATGTAAGTTACTATAAATTAAAAATCCTATAAATCCAATTATATGAAACCAATAAAAAAATTCAAATGTATATCTTCTAAAAACCGATAAAGAAGTTAAATAAATTACAGTTAAAAATATAAATCCCATAAACTACGTTTCCAAAAATTGTTTCGTGAACGTCTTGAAGTTCACGATATCTTTGTTGAATATGTCCGAATCCATGAAACATGATGCAAAAAAATACCATCCTTCCTACCCATCTGTGAAATGTTATAGCTCGTTCAAAAGGAATTCCTAAAATCGATATGAAAATTGAATTCCGAGATGCTAAAGGAAAGACGAAAAATAAATTTGCCATTGCTATCCATCCAAATCTATTATTTACATCATGCGCTATATTAACGCCTCCCTCCCTCTAATGGAAGATCATATTTATGAGAAGGAATGAAATTAAATGAATAATTCTCCGATTGTCGTATCTCCGACTGTAAGAACGTGGATTGGATAGTTCCATAATTTATGAATATAAACAACTATATGGGAGTGAATCGCTATTTTCTTTTTATTTTCTTTTTCTACATTTTTGATCATGAATTTCTTCTGCTCTTTTCTTTCGACCCAGATATCTTCGATATTGCCTAAATTGATATAGAATTGACAATAATGTTATGATTCCTACGATTATTGTCGACTTGATAAACCGAAGCTACGAAGTTTGGTCTTTTGTAAAAGACCACCATGGTGATTTAACGCGTTATCTGAATTGAATTGTGGATAAATTAAAAAATTTGAGAAGTCGGAGAATGACGAATTTATATTTTTTTAAAAAAATAAGCAAAAAAAAAAATATTTTTTTGAATTGCTTGTTTACGTTTACTTAAGGAAGGAAACTCAGTAGATATGAAACCGATTTGGGAAAGGAATGAATTTCCGATGAAGATGGTATAAAAAGGGGAAGATCATTCATTTGTATAAAACTATGGAAGGATATAAAAAAGTAAATTTCTTTTCTTTTCAAAATTAGAACGAAAATCAATTCTTAAATTTGATAATTTTTAATAATTTCTTTCACAATATATTCAAGTATTTCATTGGATTTTCCATGGGGAAGCAGGAACTTGCGATCCAGCTTATATAAATTTAGTTATTATCATGGCGGATTTGCAAGAAATACCACAGGAGGATACGCCACAACAGTGAATTCTCTTGAAAATGGAAATGGAACTATCAATTATCAATACCTTGCAACATCGGAATTACATCACAATCGGACTTCCTATAAATTTCTTGTGGTCACCCAGTGATCTTCAGCACATTAGCTAATATAAATGCTCTTGTCGTAAGAAATTTTGATGCTTGGTTTATAACAAAAGTTATAACGTTTAATTTCACTCTTGATAATGATATTAATATTGGACCTGATAAAAATGCCGTTGTTGTTAATACTTTTAATTTCTTTGAAAGATATGGTTTATTTATTGTGATATTTGTTGTATTTGGTGTAACTTATTTTGTTGGATCGTTTATAGAATATTTACTGAAAAAAACAAGAAGTCAATGTAAGAAATTCTATAAATTTTAGGAAATAAATCAAAAGAAATGTGACAAATGTGACAAATGAATTCGAATTCACAAGTCTCTATAATCGATCTTTGTGTCTCGCTTTATAAAAATTCCACGTTTAATTCCATTCAAATTAATTGTGGAGGATTTAAACCAGATTCTTCTGAGGGAAGAGTAATTCTTTCATCCCGTTTAAGATTTTAATAGAAATCTTCCATGTGGAAAACAACATTTGATATCCAAATCTTGCAATAATTGATACATGTAAAGATAAAAATGTTTTCTGTGTTTGATTTGAACTATAATAAGTAAGACCTGTAGATTACATCATTTATCGTTTACTATTTTGGAGCAAATATCATTCGATTTTTTGTTTTGTTTTACGGAAAAATGTTTCACAATAAAGGGATGCATTTTAAGATTGTATTAATGGGTATGTAGATCTCGTAAAATAATTTTATATCGAATTTGATTCCTTCATATTATAAACAAATATGTCGGCGTTCATTGATTTAATGACAGTTGAAAATTGTATCACAAAATTTTTATCGTCTAACAATCGTTGTGTTTCCATGATTTTTGGAAATTCTGGTCTAGATCATTCTTGATCATATATAAATATGTATTAAGCTTTTTTTAAAAAATTACTTTACATCCGATTATTTTTTTTTTTTCAATAGAATGGCATTTATTTGTAAAAATATTTATAAGGATCAGGAATTTGTTATTGTCTTATGACTTATTTATTACCGCTTAATAAGTCTGAGTTTTTTTTTTTCATCCTTCAAAAAAATTTTTCGACAAAAAACTTCCAAACCCACTTTAAAAATAATCTTAAACCATCGCCATCGTTATAATTCATCGAATATTTCTTTCATCTGGATCATTACTATAATGACAAGCTCACATTCAGAGAATTCTACGATAAAAAGGGAGGAAATTGAAGAAACCTCATTTTCCTCTACCGATTCAAATCGTGGTCGAATAGTAGCGCATGCGGTTAAAGAAGCTTGTACTATTGCGAGCTTAGGACGAAATCATCAAGATTGGGATGCCGCTTGTAAACTCATTTTACAAAATAAATCGCTCACTAACAAAGAAAAAAGATCCATTATTACTCTCATATATGGTAAACACGATTATTTGTCACTTTAGGAAAATTATTAAAAATAAAAATATTACCTTTATTACTCTTCCAAAATAGAAATTCCTCATCTCACAACGAAATACAACTTATTAAAAAAAAATTAATAATTCAATAATAATCTCAAATTTTCATTCCTCATTTTCACTTATTGTATATTTTTTTTTCTTTCCAAATTATTATATTTTTACTTTATAATGTTTGAATACAATAAAACTGTAAATATTGGGTCTAGGCCTAGATCATCTAGAAACATATTACATATTTTAAAATGATGATCTGAAAAAAAAAATTTACCCGAATATTTGAAACATGCGATTAATAATATATTTCTATCGCTTTATAGGTCAGAATAATTGGTAGATTCATGATTTTTATTGGATTTTACTAACGGAATGTTCCAGATGTGTTTTTCGAATAGTATCAGGGCATGTATAATAAAAAATCATCAAACTTAGTGTGATAAATGTAAATTATTATAAAAAACTGCATATCGTATCGATAAAATCACAATCGAATATTACACACATAAAAAAGATCAACTTTAATGTGTGACAGGTTACGCTGGATATATCGATATAATACTTTAGATTACATTTTTGGACATGATCGACAAATGATCGTCACATGCGCCACAGACAACTTTTTACGAAAAATTTTCCTTTTCAAAACCAAACCTTAATAAACTTATATTTAGACTTTAAAAATAATATATGTAAATGTATTTTTGCTCGTTCTGCAAGTTTACTTAGAGCGGCGGGTTGGGTTTTTGCAGTACGCTTTTTTGAAAAAATACGTCACATACTTTAAGTCATATAATCGGTGTAACCTGTCACACATTAGAGGTGTGCGATTTTATCATCTCGTGACGTTTTCATAGGGAAACTTTGTCATCAATTACGTCATGTATGATCACGAACCGACCTCATCTCCATCTATCTCTCAATATCTTTATATCAAAAAATAGAACTTCCTTGCATTTAAGATCTCTTCCAAATATAAAGTCGGCATGAAAACTCATCAAAATCCTTGAAATGGTTGTTTGACGTCTATCATACACAAAAGCAGCCTATCCTGGAGTATAGAATGTCCTTTCACCATTGGACAATATTGAATCATTGTTAGAATGTCTCGTAAATTACAGTTTTCCTCTCATTTCGCAAAGAGAGAAAGAGATTGGGTTTTGATTGGGATTTTCAAAATAAGTTTTGCGATAAAAAAAAACACAAAAATATAATTTGCTATTAATTGTTCCGCAGCAAATGATAAAGTTTTAAATTATAAAATTTAGTACCGCCAAGAAAAATTCAATTTGCTTGTTTGTTCAGTATTTCTTCATTAAAAAAAGAATGACATATGATATAATCATCAAAATAATACAATCGTATGATGAAATGTTTTAGTCATAAATTTGCGGATCCTTTTTTGGTATTATTTATGTTATATAAAGTTGATGTTATTCTAAACGGGAAAAAAAAAATTTCGATTAAAAAAAGAAGTAATTCTAATGGTGAGAATGAATTAGCAAATTGAATTTTTTTTTTAATAAATTAACTTAATAATTCCCACCCACACATTACACCTTTATTTTATTATTACTATTAGGATGATGAAAAAGTTGGTATTAAAAAAATGATTTCAAGACAAATAAGAAATCATCCATTTTCATTATATGGTCGTCAACTTTTCGAGAGAATACGTAGACCATATCAAAGAATTATTCGAAAAAATCTTTATGATTTAATTGAAGATTTGAATAATTCAACGAATTTGAAAATTCTTAAATCTATGGTGGAAGATCCAAGTGTTCACCTTTCCGAGAATGATCTATATACTTTACTAGAAGAATTGACCTTTATTCAAGAATTTGGAGAATATACGCAAGATTATCTGGAAAAACTTGAGAATCGTATTAAAACCATAACATCTGTTCTTGAATTAATCGTTTTTAACATCGAAACGATACGTTTAGACGCTGATTTCTACGAACAAATTTCAGATCAATTGAAAAACTGTGTATCACGTTATAGAAATTATCCATCAGTTACTTCCTGGGCAACATCGTTAAATCATTATATCCCGAAAGAGGAGACAATTCACAAGTATAACTTTGAATTTCTATTAGAATACATATTTGATCTTTTAAAAGTTTTGCAAAAGAATGAGTTGCAATTTCGAAAGGTCAACCTTCGTGTGGATCACTTTTTAAAAGATTTGGTCGGATCATTGGGAAACCTTGGATTTGATGGATGTATTGGAAAAAATATACCTTCTTCATCTCTACCTCTAGAGCAACGCTGGGAAAGGTTACGTAATACTTGTGACTTTGGACATTTGGTATCTCCCTTCTTTACAAATTACTACCTTTTAAAGAAAATTAAAATGAGCATTCAAACTTGGTCTTATGAGGGTAACAAAATAATGATATCAAAATATGGGAAACGTTTGTTATTAGAGTTCATGTGGATGCATGCCGATAATGTTTGGTTTGAAGAAATGAAATGTGATCGAAAGATGAATTCAAGTAACGATGAAATCCTTACACAGGGTCAGTTAAAGAATATTGTATTCTTGTTTGGAATTTTGGACCTGATGCAAAGTTATATGATTGAAAGTGAAGATTTATCAACTTTGGCACTTGTCTATTTTTTTGTTAAAGAATCTTTACAAAAAACAACAAGTGCTCCGATACAAATCAAGTCCACCGTCATTTTACTTCAATTATATTTTCGGGATGGAAATTTTTTTAAAATTATCGAACAGGATTTTGAATCTTACCTTCTAGACCTTTGTAAAGAAAGCACGGAGGCTATGACCTGTTTCAAAACATTTCTATTAGCAATAAAATTAAAATTATGTCAAGAGATTTCACTGAATGATATCCTATTTGAAAATCTTCGGGACACGAATTTTTTATCACAAATACAAAATGGAGGGAAAATATCAAACATGAATAAAAATATGGTTGATATAATAGCAGATGAAATGATGTGTTCGGTTACATTAGAACCTGGAGAGAATCTTTGTATTCTTGGGTGTAAGCACATCATAAGTCACGAAACATTTCTCAATATATTAAGAACGTCAAAATATACATGTCCTCAATGTCGTCAAGATATTCTAGGTAACGAATGTGTTTTCTTACCGCAGAGCCACATATATTCATTTTTTTATGTTCACTTTTCCGCGTCCGGAATAGTTAGTACACCACCGATTCTTATGTCCAGGGCAACTAGGGGAAATTATTTTTCGACCCCTTTACTTAATTTTGATTCTGCAACGATTTCTTCACCAACCGTTTTTAATTTTGAGGAGGGATTACCAAATCATAAATCAAATATTCACAATGAACCATGCCGTATTTGGTGGCCTTTAAAGATGGCAAAGAAATTGCATCCAGCTTATAACGAGGCAGTAAAAGCTCTAAATAATAAACGATATGAAGAATCCGTGTTGTGGCTTACCTGCCTATTGAAACATTATCCAAGCAGTTACTCTACAAGATGCGATCGTGCGTTTATTAATTCCCTATTACTTGGCCAGCATTTTCGAGCACTTGGAGATTTAAATATTGCTTTATGTATAAAGACGAAAAGTCCACATGCTTGGTATTTACGTGGAGAAATAATTCGAAGAATTGGCCACTATGAAGATGCACTCGTTGATATAAATAGATCATTACATTTATCATCAGAAAATGCCATTTCATATGGAATTCGTGGTGCCATACTTTATAAATTGAAAAGGTTTAATGAAGCCCTTGAGGATTTAAATTGTTCTTTACAAAAGTTACCTAATAATGGATATTGTCTTAGTTTTCGAGGGGCTACACTAATGAAAATTGGGTTGAAAAATGAGGCGCTTGCTGATTTTAACAAAGCCTTAGAGATTAATTCCGGTGATGTGTTTGTGCTTGTTAAACGCGCGAGGCTTCATCATACACTTTATTTGGATGATCTTGCGCTTATCGATATCAATAATGCTCTGAGTATTAATCCATGTAATTACAAGGCGCTTTTGACTCGTGGAGAGATATACGCTGCGATGAAACGAGACTCAGAAGCATTATTAGACATCAATAAATCTTTGGGTATAAATCCAAACAACATTAATGGATTGAAAATTCTTGCCAAAATATATCATAAAATGAATCGTAATGAAGAGGCTCTCGAGAATCTAGATAAAGTATTGAATCTGAAATCTGATGACGTTTCAATACTTGAATTACGAGGTGAAATTTATCGATCGATGTGCTGTTTTGAAAAGGCGGTTGATGTTTTTAATCGAATATTACAACTCGATTCCAATAATTTATTTGCTTTATCCTATCGTGGTGCTACAAAATATGATCAGGTATATCAAAATTCAACATTTCTTTTTTTTTTTATTTTGCGAGTTGTTTTTCTATTTTAACATAATTTATCATTTAGGAATTATATGAAGAAGCCTTGATTGATGTGAATAAAGCCTTGGAATTACGAGGAGAAAATAATTCATTTATATTAAAGACGAGAGCAAGGATACTTATCGCATTGGAGCGATATCATGAAGCATTAATGGATCAAAATGAAATATTAGAAAATGATCCTGATAATAGTGTCATTCTTTTAGAACGAAGGGAAGTATATCATAAATTAGGTATTTGTGATAAAGCACGCTCGAATTCGACAAATCGATGTAGGAAAACATTAAAGCCCACCTATTCATGCTAATACAATTAATTACATGGGCTGTCATTCTATAAATTTAATATTAAAAAAAAAAAAATTATATAATAATTATATGGTTAAGTTAATAAATTTATTATAAAGATCTTCATTAATTAAAGAATTTAAAATTTTTCTTAGCAGCGAAAAAAAAAATATGCTGATTATCATTCAATTATTATTTCTAAATTGTCTCCAGAAAGAGTTTCCTATATTAAAAAAAAAAATGAATGATTTTAATACGACATTCAACGTGATTTCATGGGCTTACTAAGATCAAAAAAACGCCGTTCCACAAAAGATATCAAACATGGGAAAATAATAAGTTAGATATGGCTAGCGTGTTCAAAGAAATGAATGTTCCAAAAGAATGTTTTTATAATTATGGAGATTACAATATTGTTCTAGGACATGTTCTTTTCACGGAGTACATCATGTTTAACGAATATTATTGAGATATATAAATAGATCGAACCTAAAAGTAAACGCAATGAATAAATGATGTCAGATATTCATAAAACGGACGGAACCATAAAATTACTTCGCCCATCACTTGGGTCCACGCCAAGTTTTTCAAATCATGAATCCGGACCGAAAAACCTTGATTTTTACTAATTTAATCATAAGCAACAGCTACTACGCCAAGACGGCGACGCCAAATTGGGAAAAAATATCATTCTAGAAAGTTATTATTAGAATCTATAATCATATAGTAATATGCAACATTGTACAGCATTTCTATCAATGAAGTCAGATATTTTTGGATTTATAAAGGGTGGGTGATGGATGTAAAAGTATTACATCCCTATTTTTTTTTTTTTTTTTTTTTTTTTGTAAAAAAATTTTTTTTTTTGTTTTTTTAAACGAAAGAATTTTAAAAGAAAAAAGAAATCTTTATAATTCATTTATAATTAATAATGACCGATAATATCAGCAAATTCTTAAATGAAACCACAAGTATTGAACAAAAAATTACCAATGTTAGATCAAATATTACAAAAATTGAAGAATTTCAATCACAAATATTAGTTAGTACATCAACAACGCATGAAGATTCTACAAATAAAGAACGTGAGGCTTTTGTTGAGAGCACGAGAAATTTACTCATAGAATGTAAAGATCGTATTAAAAAAATTCAATATGAAAATGCTCGTATCCCTTCAACAGATCCCAATTTTGGTTTAAGGCAACAAAGATATGAATATTTAAGAACAAAATTATCTAATGTATTAGAAGATTATCGTCTTGCTGAAAATACTTTCATGAAACAAACCAAAGATCGTATGGAAAGACAATATAAAGTTGTAAATCCAAATGCATCTCAACAAGAAATCGATGATTACGTATCAAACCCTAATTCTCAACCTATATTTCAACAAGCTTTATTAAGAACGAATGAAGCACAAAATGCTCTAGCTGAGGTGCAAAAACGTCATGAAGATATTAAAAGCATTGAAAATACCATCGCTGAACTTGTTGCTTTGTTTCAAGAATTACATCTTCAAGTTGAAGAACAAGATCAAACTATTGTTAATATTGAAGCGAATACGGAAGTAACCGTTGAAAAAACCGAGCAAGCTGCCAATGAAATTGGTACTGCAACTAAACTTGCACAAGCTGCCAGAAAGAAGAAATGGATTTGTCTTGGAATCGCTATTTTAATAATTCTCGTCATTGTTGTTGTGGTGATAACTCAATTACCAAAAGGTAGTATTAGTAGTTCCAGCACAAACACTGTAACCGCAACAACTACTGTTACTCCAACCGCTCTTCCCAATAATCCTTCTCCTGTAATAACTCCTCAACCAACTCTTCAACCTCAATAGATTTCTTTTTAATTGGTGGGAAAAAATTTTTTTCTAATCATGTCTTTTGTTTTATAATATATATATTTTTTTATTTTATTAGACTTGTCTCGGTTTATTTTAATTGAATTTTTTGTTTTTAGTAATTTCAATTAATAATTTTAAAAGAAATATAATTAACTTCTGTACATAAGGCATCTAGTTGGAAACAATAGTTCTTACGGTTAAAAATAATAATGTTTCGCAAAAGTAGAGTTTTGGCGTTACAAAATTCATTAATCACGAGTCTTTATCTTAAATTTCATGTGTTCGATTTATTTAGAATACATCATTAGCGTCTATTTAGAAAACAAACGTGTAATAAAATTTATTATAATTCCTAAAACTTAGTTTTTTGTCAATAATTTTTTTTTTTTTTGAAAATCCGAAGATCACTAGTAATTATAATGATTTCTTTAAATAAAAAAAACTAAATTGGGGGGGGTTTTTTAAGGTACTCTGATGCCGACTGGTAGTCTGATGCAGATTCCAAGTACCGAAGCACTCAGTGTCATTATTAATCTCAGGTATTTCCCTATATTTCAAGTTATCAACCATATTAGGCGTACCCCTCGATCCTAACCGGCAACTAAACAAAAAAAATTAGCTGATCATACTGTGGAAAGGAGTTTATTATAATTATTTTATTAATAATTTTTTAATTATAACAAAAAATAAAAAATATATTTAAAATATTCTTCTTTAAATTATATTTAATTATTATTAATAAGTTAATTTATTTTGATGTTATTATAAAATAATATAATCTTAATATATAATTTAAATCTCTTATTTAATAAAAATTTATAAATTGGAATAATTATAAGATTTTAATTTTATATAAATTTATATTTAAAATAAGAAATTTTGTATATAAATTAGATAAAATTTATATCATATTTACATTATCCCTTCAATGGTTTTCCTTCCAAATTTAGAAGGAATTTTACTTACACTTTAAAGTTAATTTTAAATATATTAAA